GCCCCACCCACCCAAAGAACTGGACTTTCCAAGATGGTCTCTGGCAAATTATTTATATTATTGCTTTAGATTGGATAGGAAATATTATTTGTAAATTAATTATGCATGTCCTTAGTAGGTCTGATATTGGGTTGTTCACAGATTTGAATCACCCAAGTGATGATCGCAGGACAAGACTTGCACTTATTCGTTTAGCGTATTGTGTCCTGGAGTTCCAAGTCCCCTTTATGGTTTGATTCCTGTTCATTATGGGGCAGAGAGTCAGTGTAAGAGGGGTACATTGACATCTGGGCAGTTGGTGTGGAGTCCTGATGTTGTGGGCTTTCACCTTACCGGTCTAGAGACATGGACGTTTACAAATGTCCTCATGGCTATTCTTATCCACTAGGTTTGGTTTTTTTATTCCCTGATTCTTTTTGTGAAACTGACCTCACTTGTTTCTTTTTGTACAGACCGTCATTGTGAAATTGAAGCTCGACAAGGACCGCAAGAAGATCCTGGAGAGGAAGGCAATGAGCCGCGCCAAGGCAATGGCAGACAAGGGAAAATACACAGAAGAGACCATGGAGAGTTAGTTGGAATGTGTATTGAATAAATGAAGTTACAACTTATACGCTGGTTATTGTTTTACTTTGTGCACAGTACATTCTGCATAATGCATACATTGGGAAAGAGAAATGTATGTATACAGTGGAGTCCACTTATAACGAGTTCGGAAAAAACGAGGTCTGTTATAAAGGCACTACAGTGGAAACCTGATATAACAGGGATGGTGGGAGTAGAGAAAATGTCCTGTTATATCCGATCCCTGTTAAATCAGAAATGCAAAAGAAAGTGAGCATTTGTGGACTAATCCAGCTGTACTTATTCATTGGTAGTTTCCCTTGCCACAGGTACCCACGAACAGAGGTTTTGGCACCAATTTTCTCCTTGCCTCCTTACACCACATCAGAAGAGCTTGGTCCAGGGCATCTGCAAAGGGTAGTCTCATCTTCTTTCGATCCAGAGCAAACTTTTCATTGAAGTATGCTTCCACTATCTTCTCTCTATCCTTGATAATGGTGTGAATCGACCCTTGTGGAATGTCGGACTGACGACAAATCTCTTCCAGTGGAGATTGCTTTTTGTCAACAGCCTGGATTACTTCGTATTTTTGTCAATTGAAAGGCATTTTCTCTCGCGCTTGACATCGTTGGTGACACATTACGCGTGCGTGTTGCTAGGTTTCTGGCTAGATCTGGGTCTGCAGCACACTGCAGCCCTCTCTCCCTTCACACGCTGCGTGTGCTTGCAGTGGCATGGCTTGCGTGGGCTTGCTCCATCACTGCGTTACTCTCTCTCTCTCACTCTCTCTTACTTTTTACTCATTGTTGACGAGCCTTGGTCCCTGCTATAACCGGTTGGGCTCCGATGAGGCCCTGTTATTGCCGATAACTTTTAATAGAGACAAAGAGTAGGAAAAAACGGGGATTTTAAAAAACCCTGTTATTACCAGGCCTGTTATATATGGTTTCCACTGTATTCTAAAACCCCGTTTTTTTCTCCTCTTTACCTTTGTAAATAAAATACTGCTATAGCGCTATTAGACACACTGCGAGTCGGTTATAGCGGAACATAGGCCAATTGTACATAATAAAAGACCTCGCCAGTTGAGAAACTTGTTGCTGATCTTGCGAAACAAAGAATAGGAGAGCCCATGTGCGTCAACAATGCCGGAGCAACTGAGTAGGGAGGGCGTGGCATGCGCAGACAAGCAGAACGCACCGCGTGATAGGCCAGTTTAGATTATCAAGGCCTACCATGCCTCTCACTTCTTTGATGCGGGGATGAAGAGGTCACAGCAATGTGATGGATGGAGCGAATGTGTGACGTGCGCAAGCAGACAGAATGCACCACAGGGTGGGGGGGAAACACAGCGGGCGAGTTAGCCCAGAGCCCTTTCTTTCTGATCGCCGAGCTGTCAGTCCACATTGCTAGATCTAGCGCTAGAGAAACAAACCTGAGGTCATGTTGAAACAAAATCATCATCAGGGGAGATAGCAAAAGGAAAAACAGAACACTATAAACTCATAGATTAGGCCTACTTTACAGTTTCCCTTGAATTTATTACTGGATCCCTTATAGCGAGAATCCTGCTATAACGGACATTTTGCTTCGGTCCCCTCCCTCTCGTTATAACAGGATTCCACTGTATTGTGTTTTGTGATTGGTTCTAAGATTTTGTCTTACATTTTCTGAATAGGTTCAGGGTTTGAAGCCAGACCATAGTTTTGTAACAACATTCTCAGTTGTGTACAAAAGTTTTAAAATGAACACCTGTCCTCTGTATACATGATGTACGGAGTCCACTTGGCATACTCTGGCCTCTGGCTTGAAACGGAATCTCTTCTCCCAATGCTCAGAACATCAAAGCCTTGTGGGTGGTTGGCGGGTGCTCTGGTGCGGTTTGCTCCTTCTTTCCTATCAAACATCTATCGTCCTTATCTCCCCTTGTTCTTTTTTATGTTTGTTACTCTCTTGTAACACCTCTAATCTTCTGGCGCTCATATGACCTTGCAGTTGCGAGCGCCGTAAAACCTCTACTGAAACTAAATCAAAGCCTCTACCTTTCTCATACATGAATCTCTGCTTCTTTTTTTAGGAATATTTGTCTGAGAGTAGATTTTTAAACTTGCATCAGCTAAAGGAGTGCTGCTGTAGGACAAAGGCCAAGACGGTTAGGTCAGATGTAGACCCATTAAAAATAATGTGCTTGTGAGGGTTCTGAGCTGAACTCTTTATTTGTATTATTATTCAGCTCTGTGACCACATAACCACGAGGTTGCACATACATGATATAACAGTTGGCAGTGTTTGTTCTATCACAGTGTGATAGCTGAAAGTGAAAGTACCTATTTGTTGATGTAGAGTTGACAGGTGAAACTTTGAGTATAGGTTTACCTCTGTTCTCACACAACTTGTGTATCCCCAGAAACAACTAAGTTGAATCCAAGTTTAGTGTTTTGCGCCAGCAGCACCTATGAGTACTTTTGACCCAGGACATTCTAAAGCTTAAAGAAACCTGATGCCTATTGTCTTGGAACAGCTATAAATTACAGTGATACTGATAAATGAGTTCACTTTACATCATTTAGGGTTGAGGCACAATGCATGATGAGACTGCTTGTCACTTTTTTTATTGCTCTCTTTGCAGCAGTTCACCTTTTTACCTGCCTATTCCTCCACTGGCTCTCGGCTTAGCAGTTGCAGTTGGGTTCTGTGGACAAATGAGATTGATCTCATCCATTATGCTTACTTCATTTAATCATTATCGAGGCAGAAAAACCGACGGTGTCCATGTTTTGGTTTCAGGTTCTGTAAAATGAATCGTTAGCTGTATGGAGCCCAAATCTAGACCAGGGATTTCAAGGGAACTCCACTGAACAAATAATGTGCCCTGAGGGTTCTGAGCTGAACTCTTTACAGTGGGACTCGATTCAACGAGGTCACCGGGCCTGAACTAAAATCTCGTTGAATCCGAGTGTTCGTTTATAGCAAACATAAGGTTTTGTGTAGATTTAATTACAGGCACTGAGCAAGTAATTTATAGAGAAGTAACAATTGGTGCTGCCTGAAATGCCTGCATATTATGAACTGTGCCAAAAGAAAAAGACCAATCAGTTCAAATGAATGCCTGTGTCGTCCATTGTTTGCCAAAAAGTTGTGCTGCTGTGTAGAGCCTAGCATACGCCAACTTTTCATTCCATAGACCAGCGCATAATTCATTACGTAGAGATCTATGTCAAGACTAGCTTATCATTGTAATATATAGGAGTGCTTATTTAGGCCACATATAGCTTAAATAAGGTAAGGGAGGGGGGTTTAGCTTATTTAGGCCACACATGCTCAAACTACCGGGGGACACCCTTTTCAGGCAACTGAGTTCGTTCCACTTTCATAAATGGTGCACCTTTCTCATTTAGTACAGTTTTGTCTCAGTGTACAACTTATATATTATATCATAATGAATATTGTAAGAACAAAGCACGATACGCAAAATTTTGCTCAATCCCGATGGTTTGAATGAGGGCCAGATTTTTCCTTCATGGAGGGGCAAAATCTAGGCTACCATTTTGGCACACTTTGGTCAGTGAAAAGGTCAAGTCAAGTGGAATGTCTGGAGAAACTCAATCCATCTCAAACACAAACTTTTGAACGATTTCATGAAACCCTTCTCGAGATCGTTCAAAAACACATACCAAAATTATCCGTCAAACCCCGAAGAAATAAATGTTGGTTCACTGAAGACTGCCAAAAAGCTGTTGCGGCCAAAAAATCAGCTCTCAGGAAGTTCGTCAACTCTAAAACTAACGAAGACCTCATTAATTTCAAAATTGCGCGAGCCCAAGCACGCAGAAAAATCAGAACAGCCAAGAAAACATTTTTTCGAAATTATGTCTCAAAAATCAACAACACACCAATGCACAAAGTCTGGAAGATGATAAAGAAATTAAAAGGTACTAAAAAAGACACAATCAAACACATCCTTAAACCGAATAACTCCTTCGTAGAAACCGAAAAAACAGTTGCTGACTGTATAGCATCAACTCTCTCCGGAAATTCCTCTACCCACAATTACAACCCTGAATTCAAAAAAGTAAAAATGTCTTCTGAAAAGACAACTGTTGATTTTACCTCTTCAAATGAAGAACACTATAATTGCAGCTTTTCTCTTAACGAATTAAAATGTAATATTGCAGAACTATCAAACACAGCTCCAGGCCCTGATCAAATACACAACGAAATCATCAAACGTCTTCCAGACGAAACCTCCTATTACTCCTTGATATTTACAATGAACTCTGGCATTCTCAACAATTTCCGAACAGTTGGCGTCTTGCCACTGTTATACCAATCCCAAAACCAGGAAAAGATCACTCTAACCCTTCAAAGTACCGTCCCATAGCCCTTACAAACTGTTTCTGTAAACTTATGGAAAAACTTATTAACAAACGTCTAATGTGGTTTCTCGAAACCTCAAACTCCTTATCCAATTTTCAATGCGGTTTTCGCAAAAATCGCTCTACTATTGACCATCTCGTCCGACTTGAAACTTTCATTCGGGAAGCTTTCATTCGAAAAGAGCACCTTGTGGCTATTTTTTTTTTACTTAGAAAAAGCATTCAACACCACATGGAAACATGGTATTCTGAAAGACCTGCATGACTTGGGCTTACGCGGAAATCGAAGATGTGTATGATAATTTAGAGTTATTTTCATTTTGCTTGATTTTTCAATTGCGGCCATTTTTAATTTATGCAAATTAGTGTGAAATGATGCAGGTAGAGCTTGTGTCCGTTTATCAAAATTTTTAGTTTTATTCAAGGTACTTGTGTGCCAAGTGGCATGTTCCTACTAAAATTTGCAGTGGGGGTGCAGTTAGGGAGCCCACTACATTGGGCACAGATACAAGAGTGAACGGAAATGAGAAAGATACTTCAGACACCTACAGTCCCAGACTCGATGACTGCGAGAAAATAATTACAGCCTAGAGCAGCCTCTCGACAACGACCTTCGATATAGCGACATGGTGCCCAGGTCCCGATTTTTACCTTATAGATAAATATATCAT